CATACTAAGGTCAGAAATTTTTGCTTCACAAATAATGGGCGTCATGAATCCCTGTAGCTAGCCTTGCATAAATATCTGATGGATCTTTTTTGTGCACAAATTTCCCAGAAACAAATATCATAACGTAAATAGGACTCAATTTGTGCAAAATAAACTGATCTTGTAATGGTAGTATCTAACTCTCTTGCAACAACTCTCACTGCATGGCATCCTGCTGCTAGTTTTTTACATAAGTAGTCGACATGGGAATCAAATTTTAGATTTTCATCAATCGAAGAGCCCTAAACATTTTTTTCTCCAAATTTTCAATTTTTACATTTTCCAAGTGTACTTTCCCTATGTTACATAGGGAACGTGACCGCATTTGTTTTGTCGATGTTGAATGATAAAAAATTAGAATCCCACGATTCTTTCATTCTTCTTATGTCGACGATGATTTGATCAAGTAAATTTGAGGCGGTATTGCTATGCGAAAAGATAGTGGTGTCGTCAGCGAAACATGTGAATTTACCGTTTATGTCAACATGGGCTCGGTCATTGACATAAATGAGAAACAACACCGGTCCCAAAACAGAACCTTATGGGACCCCACTGCCAATGAAACGTTCCTCTGACGAAATTCGATCTAATAGAACATTCTGCCGCCGATGAGAAAGGTACGTCTCAAACCAAAGTAATGCAGATCCTCTAAATCCGTAAACTTCTAGCTTGTGAAGAAGTAGCATGTGGTCTACCGAAGGCGATGGTTAGGTCACAAAACATGGCCGCCGCAGATTCCCTGTCATGATTGGTGTACAGGTTTTCCAGGAGCGAAAATATATCGTCTTGTGTACCTTTTGAAGACTGAAAGCCAAACTGGAATAAACTTATTATATACTTAGTATGGTGATTAGGACAGCAAAAAGATGTTTGTTCCTAGTTGAACGAACAGCTACTTGAAATGAGATTTCATGTAATAGATCATTACAATTAATGTCACCTGATATAATTTTAAATAAGGTAATGATATCGTTATTTATTCCACGAATAGAAAAAGTGTGAAGATTCGCAATATCAAGTATATCCGAATAATCAAATTCTCCAACTGTGAAGCTAGATTTGAAGGTGACAAGTCTGAGGAGTCTCTTTTGCACTACAGTATAATGAGAGCAGATTGGTGATCCAAAATAGATATTATATAGGCTGCTGGTGGCAGCCACAGTTATATCCTTACAAATTCGGAAGACGAAACCAAGAAGTTTAAGAGCTTTATTGATGGTGATCTTGATGTGGGTGATGAATGAAAGGTTCACATCAAATGTTATACCCAAATGTCTCATTCCATTGAGCTGTTTTAGATTGACATTGTTAAGAACATAGTTGAAGACGGTTTTCTTATTTATTCTAGCAAACGTTATATCGAAGCATTTCCCTTGATTAAACGACAACCCATTGTTTTCAGACCAAACATATAGATAATTAATATCATCTTTTATCTTATGACAATCTTCAATACTTTCGATAGACAAATAAAGCTTCAGGTGTCATCAGACAGCAAGATTTTACAGTAATCAATTGAATTACTAACATCGTTTATGAATAGGGTAAACAGGAGGGTTCCAAATAAGATCCTTGTGGCACTACAGAAGGTACCAAGATTCGTTCTGATTCAAAGTTTTTGATTTTGACTACCTGTGATCTGTTATTAAGATAATTGCTTGACATTCATTCGGCTATCTGATTCAATCCCGGCTATAGGATTCTTGTTTAAACTGAAAGGCATAAATTTTTGGGAGAGATTATTGTTTTGGGAAAGAAAAGTTTTTACTTCTTACTTCTCCATCTTTATACAAAAAAAATTAATTGATTTCAAAAGATAAACTCGTTACCAAGATGTGTACCAAGATCATGGAAAGAAGTGACTTTCAGACACAAACTGGAAGAAAAAGCCCTTTCAAAAATAATCAAATAAAAATCGAAAGAAGGTCATTACATACTGTCATTGATGACATGAGTAAATTTAACTCATTTATGGTATGAAGTCGTAATTTTATGAGGTATACTGATCAATAGACAAACATTTCAGAATTCAAAAAGTTCTAATTACTAACCTCATGCAGGCACCATCTTACGGAAGGAGTATAATTACCAGCGTGACCACATTATATTTGAGAAATGTACCTATGGCACCGTATAAGAGTAAACACAATACAATACACATTCCATTGTATACACAATACAATACACATTCCTAGAAACAAAATGAACCTAGAGAAACACCAACACAAAGGATATTACCTGATTTAATCCGAGTACAGGCAAATTCAAAGAGACATCCGGATGAAAAAAGAGGACAAATACCTGTGAGGTATTCTAACCGTATAAAAGAACAAACAAGAAGATAAAACGTTCAGTTTAAGTAGAGCTATGAAGATGGTAGCACATCCTGCTATCGAAAGCGCTCGCACATAATAATTATAAGTTATTTCATGACATTTTATGATATATACATAGGAAAAAATAACTGAAAACTGAACTGCAAAATAAACAAGAAAAGTTAAACCAAGGTGAGTCATAAAAAAGATACATATTTACAAAAACTATCTCACATATATTCATATGCAAAGTATATGAACACATGTAAAAAAAAGACAATAACAAATGAATACGAGTTTAAAACATGTGCTTAATAACAATATATAAATTAAACAAAATTCTAAAGAAATGTGATTGATGAATGAAATGAACCCAAAAGGACGTAAACTGAGTTAACTTCATTTCCTTCAACTTGGTTAGTGAGTCGAGAATAGTTTGCAGTTCTAGTGTTTGGGAAAAGTAGTTGTTTGTTTCAAATTGAAATGAACATAAATCGGTGCTCCTACTTTACGTATATCTCAAAATATGGATTCTGAATTTGGATACGATAATTCATTGAAGTTTAAATATATTTTTTTTTTCTTGTGAAAAGGTTCTCGACATATATATTCTCGTACATTAAGGTCAATCAATCAAAGTGCGCGCAATCCCATTGTTTTCAAAATTTCGCCTTTTAAAAAAATGCTTTCATATACCTATAATGATTTATCATAAAATCCCGAGATCGTAGGTGGAGGTATTTTATCAGATTATTAAACACCCAGATCATATGCTTAGCAATATTTCGAAACTTATAGATTGGCACACAATTCAGCAGATTCAACTTTGGTCCCCTGTGATATAACATATAACCCTATGGGAAATATAATTTTCCTTTTATGTCATATTAGTCATATTTGTATCCCATCTTAGTTAACCGTCAACGTAGTAATAGCCACATTTTGAAAATGTTTCTTCTTGATCTATAATAATTATAAAGATTGTTTATAATTTTTATCTATGTTTAATTACTGTTATCGTATTGACATAAAAAATGAATATTTAAATTATTGGAATTGCCTAAGTGACTTCGATTGTGACCTTACATCTCCTAAAATAATTTTTCCAAGAGAACACGTGCGATTTTTATGTTTCTGTTCTTGATTCAAACTTGAATTTTACAGAGAATTGATATGGCTTTTATGGATGGAGTGTTTGTCTGGCAGTATGTTATTATTTTTTATCATTGTTAAAAAAGAATAGGGTTATTTGAAGATTTTGATACTATATACAAATTCTATTTTTCAATTTTTATGAATGCATAACTTCTTTATTTCAGCCAAAATTTATTGGTAGGGGTTGGAAATCCTTTGCTGGATATGTCAGCAGTGGTTAGCAAAGAATTTTTGGCTAAATATGGTTTGAAAGAGAATGATGCTATTTTGGCAGACAAAAACCATATGAGTTTATACACAGATTTGGTACATGAATACCAAGTTACTTATACAGCAGGTGGAAGTGTACAAAATACATTGAGGGTAGCTCAGTGGTTAATCGGCGAACCATTTGTTACTACTTACTTTGGATGTGTTGGTATGGACAAGTACTCAAGGATTTTATTTGAAAAGGCAACAGACGATGGAGTTAATGTGCGGTACCAGCAATGTGATAAGGGTGAACCCACAGGAACTTGTGCTGTTCTTATTACAGATCATAATAGATCTTTATGTGCAAATTTGGGTTGTGCTAATAATTTTACAATAGATCACATAAGGACACGAGATAATAAATATCTGATAGACTCAGCCAAATACTATTATATATCGGTAAGTATTCATTGTCAAGAAATATAAAAATTCACATTTGTCAAAATACCGAATACTTAACTGAATTCTCTAGCTACTTGACATTGAATGAATTATAAGAGATTGACACAAGAGCTGGATTTTGCACTTCTAATTTTGATACTGGTGTGACCATTCCCATTGTTTTTTTCATATTTTTTGTTTTTCTTCCAGTTGCTATTTTGCAAGTATTAAACTACAAAGCAGTTTAAGGGGAGGGAAAGCTAAACTCAAGTTTCGAGTCTTGTATTATGTTCTCAAACTCCCAGAATCCATTTCTGATGTCTGTTTATTGAAAAACAGGTAGGGAAGGGTTTGAACTTGAATTTTTCCATATTTTTTTTCTCATCTTCAACTTCTTTATTGCCTTTTCCTTCTTCATCGTATGCAGAAGAGTCAAAAATCATGTTCATTGTCGTCTTCTAAGTTTTCATTTTATTCTTCAGAAAAATCTATATCTTCATCCAAGTCTCTGTTATCTTCATCTTTATCTTCAACATCATCATTTTATAGCCAAACTTTGGTTTCGAAGTCACCTCAACATTCAGAGTCTTAATATTTTACTTCAAACTTCAAGAAATGAACGTTTTCCTACCCCAGTTATGAAATTTTGCGTGCCTACTGAAAGGTAAAGTAAACACAAGAACTTAGAATAAAAAACAAAAAATTTAAATGATAACTTGTTTTGCTACTTAATTTGTTGGGTTCAATTAACTTTTTGAAGGAATAACTAAAAATTTGACTTTTTTTATTGTGTTGTGTGGAAATATTCTATACAGGGTGTCTCATAAATTATGCTCCAAACTGATGAATAGTTTGTAAAACATGGGGTCCGATTAATCACCATTTTTGAGTAATTTATATTTTTGTGATTTCAATGAAAAAACCCTGTTTTTATGTTTATGAAAATGTCATAGTTTTTCAGAAAATCGAGTCACTAATTCACCGTATTTTCTTCTTTAAACATTGCAACAAAGATATCTTCTTTCGTAAAAATACTACATTTTGTAAATTTATGGATGTAGCTATTACTACGTGGTAGGAAATCATAATGAAGAAAAGAGAAATGACACTTTCTATGATTTTTACCACTTTTATTTTAAACTAATGTTACTACAATTTTGTCCTATACGGACATTTTTAAACTTATACATTAAACTAAAAATGATTGATTACATTAGCCCTTATATAACACCACTGTAGGTAATAACAGAGGTACTTAGCTTAATTGCGTACCTGAATTTTGTTTATCTGTGACAATGTGGATACACCAATTTGAAAACCAGTGAGTAAACCACATCAATTTGATCATTTAACAGGTTGCACCTGCAATTTTTATGTTTATGAAATTCGAAGGATTCCAAATGATCGAGTTTGCAACCCTGACCTATTCAAAAGTGTAATGAAATACAGGGTGTTTCCCTGTACTTTGATTAATTTCACCAAGGCTAGACTGCATGAAACCTTCGTCTAAGAGAAAGATTGTTAAGTAGTTATTTGATTTTTGTTAGAGTATTGGTTCATGGGATGTTTCTTCTCCGCTTGGGGCTTCATTCACGACATGGAGCTGTTACTAGTTAACATACTTTCTCTTAGACATGCAGTTGAGCAGCGTTGAAATTATTCAAGTTCCAGGCACTTTGATGTGTGGTTGGATGTTACCTGCAATGATAAGAGGTAATACCTCGAAACCGGTCTGTAGGTGATCTACTCGACTGATTTCAGCATTGTCCTGCTGCTGGATGAGCGAGAAACATCTGTAAGACTGACCTCTATGAGGTATATTGCCTAAATGTCTGTCGGATATAATTCAATATCCTGCGTGGTATTAGCTGGGAAATTAGTTGTTTTCCGGCTGGCATTCACTGGAACCTACTGCGTAGGTAAGTTGGTAGGGAGGAATGTTTCGTTTTGATCTCCGAATGTGGAGAAACAAGTATAGACAACAAATTCTATATGTTTTCATGTATACAGTGTGTCCAAGATAAGGATCCTAAGCATGGAAATCTCAGTACCTGTTGGAGATACAGCTTAGGTTAAATTAGGAAAAAGTTGTGTTCTTTAAAGCTTATTTACATGCCGTTTAGAAACTTGAAGAAGAATTTTCATTTGATCCGTTGTCTGGTTCACCAGAAACGTCTAATGTGCCATCCACCGTGAATCAGCCTGTATTATATAGTGATTGTGATTCTTATATAATCAGAAATGATTATTGAATAACGAAATTAGTTAGCTCTCTAACTATATTATTAAAGGGGAGCTATTGGAAGGTAGGTTGCACTATATCGTTCACTTAAACTATATATCTACTACTGTTGTACATAATAATTGTAGCCCAGTATATAATATTCATTTCTATTGTTAATAAATTCAAAACTTTCGTGAGAATTGGAGAATTGTTTGATTAGTATCATGGATTGTATTGTCCATTCATAATTCATATATGAAAGTATATGCGTTCATATATTACAATACTCATGTTCAACCCTGTTCCAAACCACCAGAACTGCAACACTCTTTTCAACGCGCGTTCCACCATTCCACCAACCAAGTTGGCGTCATCAGGAGATGAAATCAGGAGGGCTGTAATCACCTTCATTACCCCCACCCCCAATAAATCCGCCCTTGGATTGACGTGAACCAACTTCTAGAAACATTTTCCACATACCTTCGTGAATGTATCCAGACATATTTCCCCAAGAAATATTGCTTTGAAGGACATTGCTCTTTGAGATCGTCTCATCATGAGTTTAAGAACGATATTCACGTCTCTTTTATATGTATACCAAGGCAGCTCGTTATATATTATGTCGGATATTGCCTCGCTCTGAAACAGTACAGGATAAAAAATATCAAAGAGTCCGCACAATAATTTGATTCCACATATTTTGAAAGAATAAACTGTTCACAAGACTTTTTATTTCATTGATATTGGGCTACTTCAGAAGTTTTGTCCGTTTTCATAAGCACATCTTCACCGGCAGCAGGAGGTTTGATACTAATGGAGCTGGCGATGCGTTTGTTGGAGGTTTTTTATCACAGTACATTCAAGAACTCAATTTGGAGACTTGCGTCAAATGTGGCATGTGGGCAGCATCACAGATAATACAACGTAGTGGGTGTACGTTTGAAGGAAAGCCTAGTTTCATCTACACTAACTATTAAATAATGTACTTACAAGGGTTTTTTTATTAACGAGGGTATTAAAAATTGGTTCACTTTATTCTATAATACTTTTGTTTTCTTTTTCTTCTTCTTCTGGTTTTGGTTGAGATAATTTCAAATATATCACTGACAACGGTAGCGATGTTGCAGGTTTGATAATAAAAAATGGTGGTATTCATTTATTTGCTTGTTCGGTATTAATGTGAAAATCCCAAGTTATAACGTTGTAAAATATACATTCATAAAAATTTACTTCAATCCAATAATAAATCTAAAGACTAAATACTAAATACATAATTGACTGCAGACCTCTAAGGAGTAAGTAAAAAAGTCAAGTTCCAATGAGAGAGAGAGAGAGAGAGACGTGCTACATTTTGT